ATATATATACACAGTACCTTTTGCCCCACTGCACCCCTGTATAGAGATTGATGTGGTCTCCCATTAAGTGATGCCCCACTGGGTCTCCACTCACTTGTGGGTAATACACTGCATGAATTTTTTCTTTGTATATCCATATTCTCAGAAAGGAGCTTATCTTTTTAATTTTTTTTAATGTATACCAGTCCATCCACCATCTAACCGAGGTGCGAGGTTCTAGCTTTCAGTTCTGTGGAAATGCAAGTTGTGTTTCTGATGTTAACATTTTCCTTACCTGAAAATGTATTTTAGGTAAATACTTTCTAGTTAACTATTGAAGAGTATAAGTTTATTATGAATAAAACCTAACTTGGTGGGAAAAAAAATAATCCCTGCTTCCAAAAGATTTCTATAAGTACCTTTCTAGATACAAAAATTAAAGTGCTGGTTGATGATTCTGATTTGAATCTTTATTTTATACTTTAGGATTGCTGCTGTTACAGATTCTCCTTCAATTTCATGGGCTGGAAGATTTGGCAAAAGTTAACAAGCATTAACAAAACTAGTGTTTGCAAAACATTTAGGAATTATTTTTTACTTCTTTTCTGGCTAGATAACTACTTCATAGTGATTTTTTTTTCTAGCAAAAATTCGACCATGGGTTATTATAAATGTGATTGTTTCTAGTGTCTTTATTATATATGTATAACAGAGGGGGAGGGGGGGTTACTTACATATTATTATCTTTCTGGCTTGTCTGTGATCTATAAATTTAGAATACTTGTTAGTAAGAGTAAAATTATTTACAAGAGATGTATGTATTGTTTTGTAAAATAGATTTTGATTTCCTAAAAAGTGCTATTATCATTCTATAACATGCAGCTTTTATGTTTACCTGTATAAAGTTTTTCCAAGTCAAATTTTTTAATATGACTTCTCTAGTCTTAGTTTTACCCAGAAAATATCTAGTGTATTAAAAATTATAATGAACGTGGAGGTGTAAATAAATTAAAGATGCTATCTTGAGCTTTATACTCAATCAGAAACTTAAATGTGAATTGGCACAATTGTTATTCCAGTGATGCATTTTTAAACTATCTGTGTAAAGTGATACTTCACTTCCCATATTTAATGAAAACCTAAACTTCAAACATGTTTTGTTTTATTAAAAGAATCTGTATAATGTCTACATCTGTAAACAGTTTTGCTTTGTTTCAAGAAATTAATGAATAAATTTGGTCTTATAGTTTGTAAACAATAAAGCTTCAAACTAAGGGTGAAATTTCAAAAATTACACTACTTTTATATCTATTATGTGATGCCCTTGTAAGTAAGGTATCAGAATGAATAAAAAAATCCCCAAAAATGAAATTGGAAAGCTCAAAACCTTCAAGGGCCTTATAAGAGTAGTTCATTGTTCATCAAGTTGAATAAGACACAACTCCTTAAAAATGTGTAAGCTCTTGTTGTTGTTGTAATATCTGATAGTTGGAAAATAATATACCGGAATTCCAGTTAACATGACTACTGGCCTGAATATAGAATCACATGTGGTCTAAGTAATTTATGATATGGTGGTAAACATTTTAGTACAGTATGCTAATAGAATTGTTGCTGTTCCTGATAATATAGTTATAAATTAACTTTAACCTCCAAATCATACTTGACAAATACAATTGTGTCTTTTTTTTATGTTGTTGTTGACAATATGATGATGGTATTGTTATTCCCCTATGACAATATTTTTCTTATGTCATTTTGTTAATTTTTTCTCCTCTCTCTCTCTCTTCCAGCAATAATCATATTTATCAAAAGACATAGTGTAATGTAATACATAATTTAATCTCTTCAATACCATGAAGCATATGTGTTACGAAGAGGAACAATTGAAAATAACATAATTCTTGAAGCAATTAAAGGATTTGTTTTTCTAAAGTTAGTATATAATTTGTACTATCTAACTGATACTAAGTAGTAATGTGACACTGACAAAAAGCTGGAAATATCATAGTTCCAAAATCAGTTTAATGATTTCATTACATATTACTTGATTTATCTAATTAATACTAAGAAGTGGATTTAACACTAACAAAATACAATGGAAATATTCAATTCAGTTGGCATTTTTTTTTCTCTCTTGCACTAAAGAGGGAGTTATTTGATTTTTTTACCTGCTGTAATTGTGCAAACAGTAATCTAAAAACTTATTTTTCTTCTTGATGATAGAAGTAGCTACCACTTAGATATGTATATCGAAAGATGATTCTGTTTAGTGCATAATAAACTGATTGTTTAAAAAATGGTGATACTTTTGATGTACTTTTAATATTTAGCATACTTGTTTTCAAATAAATCCTGGTGTTTGTAGAGAGAGATTTTTGAATAAGAATGAATCTACCTAGTTTATCCAAGCATAAGTGTACATTTACATTTTTCGTTTGTTTGCTGAAGGTTTTCCAACATTAACCACTAAACTCAAGAACATAGTGGTTCTGTATTGCTTAATAGCAAGTAATTGACTTTATTGTGTGTTTGTAAATTTCTTGATGTATAAAAAATCTATAACAGATTATCACGAGGTGCCATTTTGCTCTTTGATAATAGAAGTATCTGCTAAAGGTATGCAAGTTAACAGCCTTCTTCTTTGATTATGTATGATACTATTTAGCTAAACATTTCCTTGAAAAATAAAGTTGTTTAAGCTTAAAATGTCCTGTTTCTTTTCTTTCTTTCTCTCTCCCTCTATGGAGTGATTATAAGAAAGTTTTTTAATTTAGCACATATCTCTCAAAAATACAGGGATGTCACGGATATGGTGAAGATGCAAATGACAAACTTGTCACATGTTGCCACCAGGGATGCCACTGTGCTTTGTTTTACATATTCCCCATGGGTATAAATGGGCCTGTCAGTATTGGTGTATTTCATTCAAACAACATAAAAGTGACAAGTGTACAGAGATGTGAAATGTTATTACACCAAAGGCAACTCCTCAGAATACAGTATAGTGCATAACATCTGCAGAAATCTTGTTCCAGTGTTGTGTTTTTGTGTGCAAGTTCATAAAAAAAAAAAAATTGAGACAGGTTGCACTTGTGATAAGTCATATACAGCAGACTACCAAAACTTCTTAAATTATCCATGAAGTCATTTGTGCTGTAGCAATACATGCCATGTTGACCGGTGTGTGAATTTGCCAATATCAGCTGTTTGTAAGGCTCTTTGTTCAATTTTTCGAATGTTTCCTTATAACCTACACCATGTTCAAGCACTGAAGGAGACCATTTTAACCTGACTTGTTGATTTTGCAATGCATTTTTTGGTAAGATTAGAAATTGATAACCAAATGGCCTGCCAATATTTCATGGATGCTTCATCCTTTTGGGAAGTGACAACATATGCAACTGTATCATCTGGTCAGAATA